AGGGGCAGCAATCGATGAAAAATCCCTCCACAAAAACGACGGTTAGTAAACCCGCCAAGCCAAGGAAAACTTTGCGAATCTCTGTAGCTGAGGGTACGGGGCTGGGGCCAACTCTGCCACGGCCAAAAGTCTACCTTCCTCGGTCCACCCGAATACCCTCGCTAGAAATCACATGGCCTAAGAATGCCAACAGAACTCAGAAACTCACATTTGAGAAACTTTGCATATAACTTTTTCTCCCTCAAGGTCTGTAGCACGGTCCTCAGATGCTGCTCAGGATCTTCCTGACTCTGGGAATACACCAGATATCATCAATAAAAACTAATCCGAACGAGTTCAAGATATGCCTGGAATTACACTTGTGCATTGTTTAAATGCATAAAAGCTGTTCGGGGGCACTTAGTTCAGCCAAAAGACATAACAAGGACTCGTTGATGACCATACCGATCCTGAAAGCAGTCTTCGGGATGCTGGCTCCCGAATCTTCAATACTGATGTAACCTGAGCGCAAGTCAATTTAGAGAACACTTGTGCGCCCTGAAGCTGGTCAAAACAGATCGTCAATACGAGGCAAAGGATAAACAGGTTCTTCAACTGTTACACCTTGTTCAACTGCGGTAGTCATACCACATGCGCATATAACCATCCACTTTTTTCCTTCACAAACAAAACAGAAGCACCCCACGGTTGAACGTTGGATCGAATAAAAACCCTTGCTAAGCAATTCCTGCAAACTGATCCATTCAAATTCTCCAACTCAGGAGGAGCCATACGATACGGTAGGAATTGGAAATTGGGCTGGTGTGCCTCAGGGCAACAGTAATCCAATGCCGAAATCAAGTATCTCTATCAGGCGGGATGCCCGGAAGATCAGCTTGGAATACATCGGATAAATCCCGTACCACTGGAAACAGAAATCAAACAAAAAGGGGTATTCAACATAACGTCTCTCACATAAGCCAAATACGCGCACACCCCTTCTCAACCATGCGCTGAGCTTTAAAGAAAAGAGATAAACTCTACTGGGAGTGTGATCTAAAGTACCATCCACTCAGACACGGGAATACTAGGAATAGCCAGCGTCACAGTTGGCGTGACAATTCAGAGATAGCGAAATGGAGTGGCGAACAACACAGGGTCACAGCCCAGAAATAATGGTCAAAAATCCACCATACCGAGTAATAATAAGTCTGCTCTGGTCTCAAAACCACAGAAGAGTAACCAAAAAAACCATGACCCGGATTTTTAAAAAAACGCGGATTCCACAACAAGAGAATCTCCCACAGGAGGAGAAACATAAACGACGGGGGCACTCAAAGAATCCCGAGGCACACCCAAATGAGGAGCAAAGTAAGAAGACACATAAGAGTAAGTAGAGCCCGGATCGAATAGAACCGATGCCTCTCTGTGACAAACCAGAATACTACCTGTAATGACGGAGTCGGAGGCAACAGCCTCAGTATGAGCAGGAATAGCATAATATCTGGCCCGGCCCCTCTCTCGAGGGCGACCTCTATCTCCCCGACCTCCGCCCCTAGCCGGCTGGGCAGGTGGGGTAGCTGCTGGAGCTGTGATCATGGCCTGAGAACTCTGAGGAGCACGCTGCGGCTGAGCAGTCTGTGAAGATGCACCCCTACCAAGTCTGGGGCAGTCCCTAACCATGTGGCGTGTATCACCACACTCAAAACAAGCTCTGGGAGGACGCGGTGGCTGTGACTGGCTGGGACTAGGCCTGCTGGGCTGACCTTTGGAAGCACCCCGCGCAGGAGGCGCGCTAGAAACTGGAGGTGCATAATAAGGCTCCTGAGGTGGAAGTGGAGCTGGAGTACTGCCGGCTGCTGGAAGAGCTGAATGTACAGGGCGACCCGAAGAACCTCTGCCATAACGACCTGCTGATGAGGTACGGGCACCAGAGTAGTGACCCGACTCTCGAGACCTCTTGGCCTCCCTCTCTCCTCGCTCCCTAGCGAGCATACCCTCAATCCTCCTAGCAATGCTCACTACCTGCTAATAAGGAATGTCCATCTCCAACTCTCGAGCCATGCTAGACCTGATGGGCGGAATAAGGCCCTCAATGAACCTGCAAACTCTCTCTCGAACTGTAGCAACCAAAGCCGGTGCATGCCTGGCCAGCCTGGTATAACGGATGGCATACTCTGAAACTGTCATAGCACCCTGGCGCAAGTGCTCAAACTCTGCGCGCCATGAATCTCTGAGGCTCTGGGGAACAAACTCTCTCATAAACATGTCCGAGAACTGGGTCCAAGTCTGTGAAGCAGCCTCGACTGGACTGTCTAACTCATAAGTGCGCCACCAATCATAGGCAGCTCCCCGAAGCTGAATGGCAGTGAAAGAAACCCCGCTGGACTCCACTATGCCCATAGTACGAAGAATGCGATGACACTCCTCCAAAAATCCCTAGGCATCATCTGATGCTAAGCCACTGAACACTTGGGGATCATATTTCTTAAACCTCTCAAGTCTCCGCTGCTCGTCCTCTGAAGCAGCTGACCTATCCTCGGGCTGAACTGGTGCTGCAGGCGGTGGGGGAATAATCTCGGGAACCTGCTCAACCTGCACTCGCTGCTCAGGAGTGCGGACGGCGGGAGTCTGTGCTCCTCCCCCGGCCTGGGATGTGGCCGCAGCGAGGGGAAGCAACCTCGCCTGAGCCAAGGTGGTGTACATGCTTATGAACCGAGCCAAAGTCTCCTGGAGCGCTGGAGTAGTAATGGCGGTAGTAGGTGTGCCAGGTGCCTGGGCTCCGGCTGGATCTACTAGTGGTACCTCGGCGGCAGCTCGCGCAGGTGCTCTGGTTGCACCACGTGCGCGTCCTCGGCCTCTCCCCCGGCCCCAGCCTCGGACGGCTGCAGTAGGGGCCGTGGGTGCCTGATCATCTCGAGCGGCACGTGTCCTCACCATCTGTGAGAGAATAGAAGTCAGAAGTTTAGAATTAATGTCAAAATATCGCACGACAAGGAATTCAAATGAAACGAAGATTTTTCCTAAACGGTTACATAGCCCCTCGTAGATAAGTACAGACGTCTCCGTACCGATCAACGAGATTCTAATAAACCGGCCTATGTGCCGTGACTCCTATGAACCTAGGACTCTGATACCAACTTGTCACGACCCTAGTTTACCAACCGTGAACATGTCATGACGGCACCTGGTCCCCATGACCAGGTAAGCCTAACATTTGCGGAAATGTAATAATTGCGGAAAAATAGAGAAAATCAATTCAAATATCTAAGGAACACTGTACTGAATGCCGCTTGGCAAGTACAACTAAATATCACAAGTCTAAAACAATTACCAAAACCCGGAAACTCACGGGCAACACAGGCTACAGAAGTGTATAGTAAAGGTTCCAAACTCCAGAATTTCTAACAACCAAAAGAAGGAAAACTAAGTACTAAAGATAGAATAAGAGGGAGACTCGTCGGTCTGCGGACGCAGCAGATCTACCTCTAAGTCTCCGTAGTCCTCCTGCCTCGCTGATAGTGCACCTGAGTAGAGGTACCTGGATGATCTGCACATGAAAAACATGCGCAGGAAGGGCATGCGTACACCACAGCGGTACTCAGTAAGTGCCAAGCCTAACCTCGGTTGGGTAGTGACGAGGAAGGTCAGGGCTATACTGAGACAAAATATAGTAATAACAATAATTAACAGTATGATAATCTGACAGAAATAATAAATACAACAGTGATATAAGACAGATTAAGCAAGGCAATAGCAAATACACAAGAACGGAACAACCACAGAATAAGTACAGCTCAACACCAATGGTAACAATGAGGATCTCCCAGGATACCGTCCTGTAGTCCTTTTCTCAACTGTCCAGTGGATGTCCCGGGATACCGTCCCGTAGTCCATCATATGTGTATATCCGAAGGATCTCCCGGAATACCGTCCCGTAGTCCAACTATCAATGTGCAGGGGGGGATCTATCGGGAATCTAACCCGCAGTCCCAAAGTAAAAATGTAGGGGGATCTACCGGGAATCGAACCCGTAGTCCCAAAGTAAACATACAAGGGGGGGAGCTACCGGAATCCCACATCCGTAGTCCCAATGTAAATGCGCAATCACAACCAGAAGGTACACGGAAACGAAGTACAAAAAGACAAGCAACAGATAGTACTGACCTAGCATGCTTCACGTAGTACAGTTAAGGTAGCTTAAGCAATTAGGCAAGTTAAATCAACTAAACATGCTTTCCAAATCTAGCACAAGTTATAATTTCAAGTAGAATAAAGCAAATATGGAAGGAACTCAATCTCAATATCTTAAGAAAAACCGGGTTTTCCAACAATTGGCTCAAGTACACGCCCGTCACCTCGCGTACAAGGCACTCAAATCAACAAATAACAAATCCTAAGGGGAAAGGTCCCCCACACAAGGTTAGACAAGCCACTTACCTCGAACCGGCTCAATATCAATAAAAGCCACGCCTTTTCCACGAGTATCCGACTCCAAATGGCCCAAATCTATTCAATTCAATACATATCGTAAATAATATTGCAAACAACTGATTCCACTATTAAATTTAGAGCTAGGGCGCGAAAATAGGTAAAATGACCAAAATGCCCCTCCAGCCATCGTCTCGGAATCGAATAATTTTTATGTTTTCAAAACCCTCGTACTCTCACGAGTCTAACCATATAAAAATCTCCCAAATCGGAGGTCAAATGACCCCTCAAAACCCCATAGTTAGGTCTAAGAAGTTTACCCACCTCCCATTCAAAAACACGAAATTAAAGGGTGAATTTGCGATTAGATTAATGGGTTTTAGTCATAGGAGAGTAGAGAATCGTTACCCAGTGATTGCCCTTGAAAAAACCCTTGAAATTGCTCCCAAATCCGAGCTCCAAACCTTGAGTTTTGATAAAAATGGCAAAACCTCCTTTTTGAAATGTTAAGTACTGTTCAGGAGTCTAAAGCATCGCGAACGCGATAGGAAGCACGCGTTCGCGAAGAAGGAAAATATCAGGGCCCAAAAATGCCCTTCGTGATCGCGAAGGGAGGAGCGCGAACGCAAAGGCCAGGGGATCAAGAACTACGCGAACGCGACAGGGCTTACGCGAACGCGATGGAGGAAATAGTGAAGCTACGCGGACGCGGGTGAACTTACGCGAACGCGAAGAGGAACGGGCCCCCCTCTCCAGACATACACTACGCGAACGCGGGAGAGTGGCCGCGAACGCGATGAGAGGATGGCTACTACTACTCGAACGCGGTGCCTTCTTCGCGAACGCGAAGAAGGAATTCAGACCTGCAACATTCTGCAACATTTCCAAACTTCAAATTGCTCGGATGAGCACCCGAAACACACCCGAGGCCCCCGGGACCTCAACCAAGCCTACGGACATATCCCATAACATCATTCAAACTTGTACCAATCTTTAAACCACCTAAGACAACGCCGGAAACACGAATTAATCAAAGATTCAAGGCTAAGAACTTCAAATTCCAACAAAACACACTTTCGATCAAAAACAAAACCCAACCTCGCCCGAATGACCTGAAATTTTGCACACACATCCCAAATGACATGACGGAGCTACTGCAACTTCCGAAATTCCAATCCGACCCACGGATCAAAAACTCACTATCGGACCGGAAACTTCAAAAATTCAAACTTCGGCATTTCAAGCCTAAATGAGCTACGAGCCTCCAAAATACATTCCGAACACGCTCCCAACCCCGAAATCACCTAACGGAGCTAACGGAACCATCGGATTTCCATTCCGAGGTCTTCTTCACACTGTTCCGATTACGGACCATTTTTCAATTCTTAAGCTCTCATTTAGGGACTAAGTGTCCCAAAACACTCCGAATCCCAACACCGAACGTCCCGGCAAACCAAAATAGCAGAAATGAACTTAGGGGAAGCAGTTAATGGGGGATCAGGGCATAAATTCCAAAAACGACCGGCCGGGTCATTACATCCTATACTGAGTACCGCTGTGGTGTACTTATGCCCTTCCTGCGCATGTTTTTCATGTGCAGATCATCCAGGTACCTCTACTCAGGCGCACTATCAGTGAGGCAGGAGGACTACGGAGACTTCGAGGTAGATCTACTGCATCCGCAGACCGATGAGTCTCCCTCTTATTCTATCTTTAGTACTTAGCTTTTCCTTCTTTCGATTGTTAGAAATTCTGGAGTTTGGAACCTTTACTATACACTTTTGTAGCCTGTGTTGCCCGTGAGTTTCCCGGTTTTGGGAATTGTTTTAGACTTGTGATATTGAGTTGTACTTGCCAAGCGGCATTCAGTACAGTTTCCTTAGATATTTGAATTGATTTTCTCTATTTCTCCGCAATTATTTTATTTCCGCAAATGTTAGGCTTACCTGGTCATGGGGACCAGGTGCCGTCATGACATGTTCACGGTTGGTGAACTAGGGTCGTGACAGACTCTTTTTTATATTTTCTTTTTCAGTGGAAAATAAAACAAACTAAAAAACAATACTCTTTTTCTCAAAAATCCGGCAGAATTTCGGCACTACTTGGACATTGGTTTTTCTAATATAGGTAATTAACTCTCTACACTGCTATTTTCTCTTTTTTTCTCTTTTTGTTTTTCAGTTTTTCCAGATATTCAAAGCCGGTTAGCATGCGAGTCCAAAACAGATAAATGCACAAGTAGGATGCATCAGGATGGTCCATTATTCCGGGTACACCTGTCCTAGACGGACCCAACCCCTGTGTTGAGTCCCCTAAGTCATATGCACGTGATGCGAATAAGCATTCCTACTAGGGATCCGGCATGAGTTCAAGTTATTCTAGGTTCAAAATGTGGGTATATGTTCTAGACTGTGTACCCGAGCAGACAACTCGAGTCGAGGAGGGGGCTACGTACCGGGGACCCGCAAGATCGTCCGGCTTAGTAACTTGTCCGAGCCTCTTTCTTATTTCAGGGTATGACACTAACAGAATAGGGAGTCTCAACCAGTAAGCACATCCCCGGAGGTGAGAAGAGAAGGGTTTCGGCACAGTTTATATACAGTTCAGATAATATCAAAGCAGTAAAGCATTTAGCACATTTAGCAGGAAACATGTAGGAAAATCAAATAAAGCCAAACATAACAATTATTCTAAGCTCGAATTCTTAAACCCTGAACCAAAGTTCTGGGTTTGTTTCCCCAGCAGAGTCGCCAGAGCTATCACACCTCCTTTTTCACTACACCCCAGAAAGGGTATAATAAAAGGAGTTTTTCCAATTAAAGGACAATCGAAACGGGCTTCGTTTATTTAAAAGATTCAGAGTCGCCACTTGGGAGATTTATGGTGTCCCAAGTCACCGGTTTGAATCCCGAATCGAGGAACGAGTTTGACTCTGTGTTACAGTCGCGAACCAGAAATCCGAGTAAGGAATTCTGTTAACCCGGGAGAAGGGGTTAGGCACTCCCGAGTTCCATGGTTCTAGAACGGTCGCTCAACTTCTATATTTGGATAAAATATTTGATTTTAGTATATGTTTGAACCTATGTGCTTTTAACTTTGAACCGCTTTTATTATTATTATTTTATGAGAATTGCAACGTCATGAAAATATATCTCGCACCGCGTCACATAAATGCACCCGCGATTTTTGACACATTTCGACTTTGTTGAGATTTGGATTTGGGTCACATAAATGTGCACCCGTATTTAGGAAGGTAAAATTATTTAAGTAACGGACTTAAAGCAACTAACGTGTTATTATCTTTGGGGAAAGCCGTGAAATTCGCTAAACGGCCCGTCCTGAATTCTAAGTATTTAATAGCCATTTGAAGAGGGCCCCACAATTTATGCATTTTATTTGGCGGGGCTCACCTCATTTATTATTTAAAGGTCAATCCTAAAGCAACTACAATTTTTTATTTATTTTGTCTGTAATAATAAAAGAAGAAGCCCTAATTAATTACCGTTATTAAATGAACACTAACGAAATCAGCCCGGGAATAAGCTATTAGCACGATGGGTTTTGAGGCCAACCCTTGGAAAAGGCATTGGATCATCCCTATGACTGGACCAGTAGAGATGCCTTTGGCACTTTGGGCTTATGATTGGCCCAACTAATATCTGGGCAGAACCACTTCGACACCTCAATTCTACGGCCAATTCGATGCCAGTCCCAATGGAGATTCAATTTCTGGAACTGAACCCCAAACTAACACGATGAAACACAAATTTATTGAATCACACTTATACAAATTTGAATCAATAAGCTAGCGGATGAGAGATATTAGATAATCATTATGATGTTTGGTGCATTGAACGACTGAGGGCTAAACGCCTGGATTCGTTGATATTCAAAATGAAGCTAGATTATATGCAAGATGTGGTTACTAATTTTGAAGGAGCCTTACAGGACTGTTAACCTACAATTTGTTACAACTTCCAGTCTAGTTTCATTGATTCAGATGTTAACTTCCAACCAAATACAATGACTTTATTCAACACAAACAGAGGAGAACCAGTTCAGGCGAAACTTGATTTAAACTATCCCCATATTAATTACAAAAACCAGTTTGTGATTTCCAATTCGATTTTAAGTTCCTAACATTTTCAATAAAACAAAATCAAGCTTTACATGATATTAAACGATTCTATACTAAAGCTACCACTAAATGAAACATCACAAATTCAAAAGTTCCAACAGTCCCAATCAGTCTAAGTTATACAGATTATAACATGTTCTAATCATCCTAACCTCAACTATTGCTACTATGTTATAAATCTCAACAACTATAACATTTGAACTAATATGGCTTCAAGCAGATTGACACTAAGTTAATATGAGCACTATGACATTTCTTCAATAAACCAAACACATCGACTGATTCAGTCCAATCATACATCAGTTGAAGCTGGAAAATACTTGGAATGTGAACAAAATGAGAAGAAAGGGAAGTCAGCAGCAACAGATGATAAACAACAATCAAAACCAGCAAACGGGAGTAATTTTGAACCAAAACAGCTTCACCAAAACTCAGGAACACACTACAGAAGTACAACACCAACTGATGGCCCCAAAATGACTCGATTGAACCCAAAAACCACTCGAAATAGAACCAATATACTTCAGGAAAGCTTCAGCAATTAGAAGAGATGAAGATCACTGCCCAAAACTCGAAATTAACCTATAAAATGCAATGTAACAGTATTTTTTGATTTTCTACTGCATTTCTGTTTCTTTTTGGATTTTTTTTTGAAGATTTGGAGTTTGGATTTTAAATTTCAGATCTGAAACTTGTGGATAACGAGTGGGAATTTTTAGAGGTTCCAAACTTGTTTTCTAAGGCAAGCAAGCTGCCTTTTATAGGCAAACTTCAGGGGGGGGAAGCTTCTAGATTTCCCTCACACTTTTCCCCCTTTTTTATTTTAGATTTCACCCAAATAGTCCTCTATTTTCTTACTTGTGTTTCAAGTTATACTATAGATTTCCTGAAATGCTAAATTGAAACCCATTCTAGAGACTTCTAGGGATTTCTAAATTCAGTTGCTATCCTATTCCCTAAGTAAACTACCCTTATTGCCCCTACCTTAGTCCTGAAATTATTAACCCAACCCCAGCCTTGTTAACTAACTAAAAAACCATGGTTCAAGTAGTTATTTTGCAAATTAATCAGCTAGAATCAAATTCAAACATAACTCTTAAATCTAAACTACCTACTGATTTTCAGATTACCCACTACCATTAACCAATCAAACTAAGAAAACTAACAGCCACAGAATCAAATTGCAATAGGCAGAAATATCAATCAAATTAAACTAATCGCCATTTACAACCCTAAAATACTAATTACAGATTAACACAAGAAAACATGCTACCAATTTTATTAATTAGAGAAACATAATGAAATTAAAAAGAACAAACTCCTATTACTGATTATTAGAACCCAAAATAAGATGAAATGAACGACTGAAAACTCCTATTATTTTTCATGCACAACGAAAATGCAAACAATTACCACAAAATGTCCCAAACATCCACAAAATTATAAAAATAATAAAAGTAAAATATTTATGTTTTTGTTTTGAATTTCTGGGAATAATTCATATAGGGCAAAAATCACGTACTCACATACGTAGATGATCCCGAAGTTGTAGATTTTAATGAAACTCCAATAATAGATGATCTTCTAAATCGTTCTATTGCGGAAGGCCAACTTTACAAGGAGACACTGATGATTGTGTTGAAAAACTACGGTATTCGAAAGAAAATTCACTTTAAGGTTGATCGATCAAGTCCATCAAGGTATGAATGTATATATAACTTTAATATTTGTATACACTCGTGAGGTTTTTATATTAATGATGCACGATAGTTTATCTAAATTTACTTACTATTGTGTAAATTTGGACGTTGTTAGATACTGCCCGGTATGTGTCAATAACCGTTGCGCGTGGTTTTTCAAGTCTTCATCTCTAAACAAGTCAAAAAAATTTAGGATTAGAAAATTCAGTAAGGATCACACATGTTCGGCGAAGGATATATTGTTTACACATCAAGTAGCTACTGCTCCTGTAATTGGAAGAATTATCTGTGATAAATATGTTGATCTTAAAACAGTATACACTGGAACAGACATAATGAAAGACATGAAAAAATATTATGGTATTGACTTAAGCTACTGGAAGGCAAATAGATCAAAGCAAAAGGCACCTCAGTTTTTGAGAAGAGACCCAAGCGGGTCGTATGCAAAGTTGCTGATCTACTTATATATATTGATGCATTCCAATCCCGGGTCAGTTGTGAGTTTGAGAAAATCGGATGTAGGATACTTCATGTATGCTTTTGTCGCATTAAATGCATCAATTATGGGATGGGAGTTTTGCAAACCTATTGTTCTGGTTGATGGAAGCTTCCTTAAAGCAACATACAGAGGGATGTTACTCATAGCTTGCTCGCAAGATGCTAGAGGTTTGTTGTAGAAAAACTCTATGTATTTCATTATTCATATTTATGTATATTCATGTGTCCCATTGTATACCAGAGTATCCTTATATGTATATGTTCATCTTATGTGTATATCCATTTATACTTATATCTTTCTTTTATATCTATGCATATCGATTACGCATCCACAGGTATTTCATCCTTCCCCCAATCCACCGCATGTATGTTATTGTAAAATATTACATACTGATGTGTACATATACTAGACCCTTAGTAAATAGTATATGTTTATAATAAGCACTTTGTTGAATACATATAATTAATATTTTGTAAACAGGCAAGATTCTACAACTTGCATATGCAATTGTTGATTCGGAGAATGATGCCTCATGGGGGTGGTTCTTCGAAAGGTTCAAAGAAGCATTCGGTGACAGAGATGACATGTGCATTGTATCGGACAGGAACGAGAGCATAGCGAAGGCGACTTCGGTAGTGTATCCTCAAGTATCTCATTGTATTTGTATATGGCATCTATTGAATAACATAAAATACAGATACAAGAGGAACCCAGAAGAGCCAAGAGATATATATTTCTCTACGATAAGAGGATATACCATTCAAGAGTTTAATCACCATATGACAGAGATGGAACAAATAGATGAAAGAGTGAAGGATTACTTATTTGATATTGGGTATCACAGGTGGTGTAGAGCGCATGCAAAAGTCAACAGAACAATGACAATGACTTCCAATATTTCAGAGTCATTAAATTCAGCAACTAAAGATGAGAGGGATCTTCCTGTACAACAATTACTGGAAGAAATTCGAATGTTGATCGAGAGGTGGAACTACACAAATTGAAACACTGCACAAGCGACATTTACAAAGCTTGCCATAAAATACAATGCTATACTAGATGAAAATCTTGATGCATCATAACATATGATGGTATGTTTATATTATATTATATGTTCCCTGTTTCATATTCATATTTGTCTTTAGAAGCACTTAATTAAAATCTATTGGGTTAATCTTTTGTATTAGTTACATAAAGTCTTGACTAATATTGCTTTTCTACAAATATAGGTGAGGCCATCAACTGAAAACTTACATTCAGTTATTAACAAGGGTGTTGTTCATCGTTTACCTTAGGGAAAGGACATGTAGTTGTATAAGGTTTCAATTAGATCAAATACCATGCCCGCATGCGTGAGCAGTGTTGAGGTCAAAAACTTGGAGGGTGAAGATTACTGCTCTATGTACTACAATAATAAATACATGTTGAAAGCATACAGCATTCCAATTTATCCTCTTCCTGATGGAAGTACATGGACAATACCTGCAGAGGTATTAGAATAAGTTGTATTGCCACCAGTCGGGAATAAGGTGCCTGGAAGACCTAAGAAGGTGAGATGCAAGAAGGTTTCATAATCACAAGCTAAGAGGCCAAAGAGCTCATGCGGACGATGTGGACGTGAGGGTCACAATAGGAGAACATGTAGAAACATACCTAATCACCACTGAGTGGTTTTGTTCCGAATAGATTACAACAATTATTAATTTAAATAAAGGCAAACCTTAAATATAAATGATTGATGTATATATCAAGTTTATTAATGATGATATATTGTTTAGTTCAAATGCAACTCAAGTTATTTAAAATTTTCACGTGTATATTAAGTTTTTAATTTATTAAAGGTTGCATTTTCGCATGTATATCAAAATGTATCATAGAATTTTGCTGGTCGATATCAATACATTAAGTTGTATAGGACATGTATATCATCATGTATATTATTGCATAGACATGTATAAATTTTTCTAACACATGATTTTGAACTATTTAATCATTTTATAAGAAGTTGCTTTACTATGTTGTCATATTGAACATTGGATTTTATTGACACGGAAAGATACAACATTACTTAAGGATGTACAATGTAGGATATACATCTCTGTTGTTGTTATACATACAACTATACAATATATACGTATAATTAGTCGTATGTTTATTAGATATACATATTAGATATACATAGCAGAATATACATATTAATTCAATTAATTGTATACATGTAGTTGTACAATTAAGTATTGATATACATAGGCATAAAGCTATACACAATATTGATGTTGTTAGTTTACGAATATACATAACCTAGGAATTAATATGTATACATGTAGTTGTACAATTAAGTATTGATATACATAGGCATAAAGCTATACACAATATTGATGTTGTTAGTTTACGGATATACATAACCTAGTTTATGATATGCATGTTATTTATAGCATGACACAAAATAGTCCAACTTTTAATCATAATAAGTATTAAAAAAGATAGTTAATGTATTAGCTATTTGTCAAAACTATACATGGATGTATAAATATTGTACACTGCAATCAAAGTATTTTGTAATTAATGAATGACCTCATTTGTTGATCATTATACTGGACAATAAAAGAACCGTTCAAATCAAATTAAAAGGTCCCGGGGGGGGGGGGGAGGGGGTTTGCAAAATGGCCAACCTCCGTTTCTGTTAGTTATCAAAATTGGCGAAAGGAAAAAGAAGATAAGCAATCCACACAGTTATGATTATGTTTACTCAATCTGTGCATTCCTATTCTGCAGCCTTCCTTTAAATTCCTAATTTTAGCATCTACTCGTGCTGTGAAATCAATATTTGTCTGCTGTCTTGCTTAATTTATACACTATCGAGCGTTGACTCGCATGTTGGAAAGACATGAGCATTTTGATTTAGTAAATAGATCATGATTTAAAAAATAGAATAAACATTAAACAAAACTACAAAAATTACATAAATATCGAAATACTTGTACTACATACTAGTAATTTCTTAATTTGACAAAAAAAAGAGCAAAAGATACTTTTATCTAGCAAAAGATAAATAATATATTGAAAATATTGTACCATAGTAAGACTGTAACGACCTGGTCGGTCGTTTTGAGAATTTAAGCTCCGTTCAACGACGTAAGATCTCGAACAGCTTCATATTATGTGTATCGACTTGCGTGCATGGTTGAATTCAGTTATCGGGGGATTCGAAGTAGAATTGGAAGAAGGATTCTCGTTTTGGAAGCTTAAGCGGTGAGAATTTGACCGGAATTGGACTTTTGAGTAAACGGCCCCGGAATGGGTTTTGGGTGATCTCAACAGCTTCGCATGGTAATTTTTGGACTTAGGCGCGTGTCCGGATTCAGATTTGGAGGTCTATAGGGTAATTTGAGGCGTTTTGGCGAAAGTTGGAAAAGTTGAAGTTTGGAAAATGGAGAAGTTTGACCCATAGTTGACTTTTGTGATATCGGGGTCGGAATGCAATTCTGGGAGTTGGAGTAGGTTCGTAATGTCATTTGTGACGTGTGTGCAAAATTGAAGGTTATTCGGACGAGGTTTGATAGGTTTCGGCATCGGTTGTGAAAGTTTGAGATTTCAAGTCCATTAGGCTTGAATTGTTGTGCAATTCATGTTTTTGTTATTGTTTGAGGTGATTCGAGAGCTCGATTGAGTTGGTATGGCATTTTAGGACTTGATGGCACATTTGGTTGAGGTTCTGTAGGCCTCGGGTGTGTTTCGGGTGAGTTTTAAGCGAGTCCGGGCATTATCGGAACTCAGACATGGTTCTCGTGCTTAATTTTTGCTGAGGGCGAAGGAATTTCCGCTGAGGGCGGAATAATTTCGCTGAGGGCGGAATAACTTCACTGAGGGCGGAATAGGGGGCATTGACAGCGCAAATTTGGTCGTGGAGGCGCTCCAGGGCAGAATCCGCAGGTTCGTTGGTCCGACTTCGGAAGCCTATATCTTTTGATATACAAGGAATTTTGAGATGATTCAAAAACAAAAGTTGTAGCCCTTCGTGTCTAGTTTCAAGAAAGGTAAATAAATCATCATTTGGAAATATATAGAGAAAGTTATGTCCAAATACTAAGGCCTGTCTGTGCAGCCACCAGAAGCATAGTCAGCGGCGGAATTCCGCGTTGGAAGTTCGCTGGGGCGGTGATTTTCGGCTGTCAGCGGAAATGGGAATCCGAGAGGTGCACTATAAATAAGAGATTTAGGGTTTTATTTTATATTTTGATCTAGAGAGCTCGGATCTTGGCAATTTTTCGAAGGTTTTTCAAGAAATTCATCATGGTAAGTGATTCTAACTCGGATTTGGCTAAAATACATGAATCTATCATTGATTTTATCATTTGATTAGTGATTTGGAATGAAAATTTGTGGAACTTCATAAATTAATTTTTGGGATTTGAATGTCGATTCGAAGTCGGATTTGAGTGAAACTAGTATGGGTGAACTCGTATCGGAATGGGTATTCGAATTTTGTAAAAATTTTCGGGTTTCGAGGTACGAAACCGGGGAGTTGACATTTGTTGACTTTTTACAAATTGTATAAGAATCATAGCTTTGTTGATTGAAATTGTTTTCTCTTGCATTGTTTGATGTATTTAAGTCGTTTTTGGATAGATTGAGCCGAGCGTTGATGAATTGGTAAAGGAAAAGCTAAATTGAGTATTGAATTGGCCGAATTGAGGTAAGTATCTTGCCTAACCTTGTGTGGGGGACTTCCCCTTAGGATTTGAGTCTTCTATGTTTATTGTAGTTCGTGTACGCGAGGTGACGAATGCGTGCTCGGACTTATTTGTGGAAAATTGGCCATTTAGGGTTCTTAAGTCTTTATATTCACTGTGTATGAATGTGTTCTTGACATGACTGAGTTTGATATTTACTTGTTTCACCTCTACATGCTTAATTGGAATTAATTGCTCCATGATGTACTCTTATTGCCTAATTGACTCCTATTTGATTTAATTGAAGAATTTCGCCTCTCCTATTGTCATGCTATCTCTTCATAGCCGCTTGTCTTATTTGAGAATTATTATTATCCCTCCTGAAATTGTTTAGTCTTAAGTGAAGCTAAGATCATCTTTCCTTAATTGAATTGTCGAATATCCTCGAAATTGTCCAACCCTAAAAGGAGTTTAGATAACCTATATCTTTGTTGACTTGCCTTTATTTGGGACTACTTGACTCGTGTTGATTTCCTTGTTATTGACTTGTATATTGTGGGATCGTTGCTACATGTTAGTTTTCCCGTTGTTGAACTGTTCCCTTTATGCCAACATTCTTTTTTGTGGTTATTTCTTGTGAGCTGGTTCTACCGTTCCTTGTGATTTACAGTCCTTGAGTTGATTTACTTGTCTTACCTTGTATTATTGTCATTGTTGTTCTTACACGTATTGTGGTGATGTACGAGTTTCCTGTTGTGCTGTAACTGTTGTTTTTGTTGGTTGCACTGCGTATTTATTTTGGGACTACGAAACGCTATTCCTGGAGATCCCCCTGCATGTTTATTTTGGGACTACGGATCGGTATTCCGAGAGATCCCCTGCACATTTATAATTGGGACTACGGGACGATATCCCGGGAGATCCCCATGTACTGGATATTTACTTTGGGACTACGGATCGGTATTCCGGGAGATTCCCTCTACATATTTATGATTTGGACTACGACACAATATCTCGGGAGATCCTCTGCACATTTACGTTTGGGACTACGGGACGATATCCTGGGAGATCCCCTGTTAAAATCACTGTGTTCTGAGCTGTTGTTTTCATTGATCTTATCCCTGTGTAAACATTATATGTGATGTCCGTTCTATTCCTTATACTTACTAGCTGGTATGGACTATGTTAGGACACTTGCACAAGCATACACGTGGCTAAGCGCCCTAATCGGATAGGAGGCTTCTTGGTATTGTCGAATATAGACGTACACCCTTGTTATTTGCCTTCCATGTGAGAATGACTCCTTTGGGCACGTGAGTTGTCAGTATGAT